CGCATTTGTGATTTTCCTTGTTGCCCATAGGGAGTGTTTAAGTGGCAGAGCGCATCGTTGTTGAATTGGGCGTCGGTATTACCCACTGACCCTAGGTAGCCGTACGCATTCAAATCAGGTGGACTGAAAACGAGCCTTGGTACGGTGAGTGGTACGGCTCCTCTAACGGTCTAAGTGTTTTAACTGACCTTGCATTTAGGCAGGAGTCGCAGTTACACGACTACAAGCTGACTATGCGAATAAGTCTGATCCCTGGGCATAGGTCGTAACCACGGCCCTGCAGGCACAGAGTGGACGGACGAGGGCCCAATGAAGACAGGGAGCCCAGTGAGCCGCCAAATCAGCCCCGTCTATGTAGCGGGCCCCAGGAACTCATTTACGGATACCATGCGGATTCATTTCGTTGGTCAAAGAGACGTAAGTATTACCAGTTCTGTTTTTATCCTTCACTCTTCTGATAGACACTTCTAAAAACATGAATCCGGGCGGATAGACACTGATAGGAAAAGTAAACCTCTCTTTTATAGAACAGGTTTTAACATAGCGGTTGGCCCTAGCAACTGCGAGTTCTACCTGCCTATACGTACTATTCGTTCTAGCCTGGTAACTACTCACCAGACGTCACCATACTCAGCAAACCATTATACCCCTTTCCCCACCGTTAGCAGGCAGTTCCGAACATATAAGACTGCATGGCCTGACGTACTCTCGAGGTTCTGCTTAGCTATACAAGGATAAAGGGAGCTTGTGCAGTCGATTTATCCGTCAATGCTATCGCTTTACTAACCAAAGCGCAGCCCATTTCCCCGATAGCATCGGAGGCTCCCTCTACCATGCTCAGACCGCTATAACTATTCACGACTCGTCGTAGACTCTGGAGCCGGCTGAGTGTGCATTGGTGCAGGGTGGGGCTTGCTACACAGATATCCCCGCCGTCCGTCTGGGCAACATGCATTGACTGGCGATGAAGAACAGAAATTGAACCGTACTTGTCCGTTTTTGTGACGCTTAAGTTATCGACAACGCGCAAAAATCCTGCGAGAGGCATTGGTTCGTCCGACGATATCGTCCTTACTCCACACATGTCGCCCTGGCCTTCAGGTATTAGTGAATGGCCGACTCTTCAAACTGCTGACCTTTCCTCCAGAGATTGCCTTCTCATGAATAAATATACAGCTCGAAGGTATTTTGGTTTTCACAGCGTTTTTCGATAGGCCAGCCGATTTGGACACCGCTCACCGGGACATTACATTCTATAGGTTATCATAGCTTGGTGCTAACCTCTTATGTCGCCACCGCAGTCGGACTCAAGCAGCCGGCGCCAGATTTTTGCGTTGACACAGATAGTCTCATAGGATCCTTCCGAAAATTCGGATAAGGACGTGTGCAAAAAGTTGCATCACAGTATGTGGTTCGGAAGGGGAATACCGACGGCAATTTCCAACTTATTAGCTGTTGCCTACCAGCCTTAACCCCAGGTTTGCAGGAGCTGAGGTTCAGCCCGTCGTTCTTTGGGCATCGAGCCTAAGCAAGTCCGCCACTCTACCACCAAGCCACGGGCCCGTTGCCCCAGCGGTTACTATCTACTACCGGAAACGACAACTTCCACCGTGACTCGCTAGTGGAGCAGATATCCGCTGCCTCCACCCCGCTCTCCCTTGCCACCGTTATCTTTTTCCGATGGCGAGACAGAATCGAGGTGGACGTGAGTGCGGTGGCAGGATGACCCGTCTACGCGTGCCACACACGACTTCGTCCTCGCCACGCATATACCAATCTAAATTTGGGGGTCTTGAGTCTCACATAGAGTGCCATTAAAACCGGATTGGGAGGGAACCATTGCAAAGTTGACCCTCAGTCCATAGGTGAGTCGAGTTTTTCGTTAGTTAGCAACCTTCCGAATCACGACCATTAACGCCTCTTGGTAGATTCAGGCTCGTTAGGTCTCTTATAGCGAGGAGTGCACTGCTTGGCCGTGGGGATGAGCTTTCCAGAATCGTTCCCACTTTCCTCCCTCCCACACGTCAGTGGCTTGTTCGAGTCAAGCCAATAGAAATGAGATTTGACACAGTGGCTGGCAAAGCTAAACAACCTGTCTACGCATGCCACGCACGGCCTGGCCCCCACTTTTTGGATCGGGCTACATCAAGTGGCATACTTCCCACTTGGCGGTAAAGTGCATCCTCCCACGTGTGATGCTTCACTCCCTACACTGGCGCTAGCAAATGGGATAACATTTACGCTGTAGAGCTGTTGTGTGATGGGTTTCTGATGGTAGAATTATCAGTTCTGGGAAGTAGGTTGATTGCGATGACGCTGCAGTGAATACCCCCTTCGTGCATACGTATATAACCACAAAGACCCCCTGCGGTGACCGAATACTCTGGGGCCGT